GACGGGCTCATAATAAATTGAGGAAGTCAATGCCGATTAGGGTGGTGATTTTTCTGGGTTTATTTCAGAGTACGGGGGCAAAAAAGACACTTTTGCCGAGCCAGATACAGTAGAATTTACGCAGCCAGGCAGAAGACTTGGATGAGTGTACCAGGGCGGAAGATACTCAAGAATTCCTCGATAAGCAAGAAGTTCCCGTCCATCACCTTCATGTACACCAAAATATGAAGCCATCTGCAGTCGCAGCCGAACTGAAGAAGCCTATGGAATTCACGTCACCTCCAAACAGCTGCGAAACTTCTTGTATGGAGTTGCCATGGACAGCTACCTGGGAACCGGCACTTTGATCTGGAAGACCTCCAACATCGAGCACCTCCGACAACGACACTATGGTCCGATATCACCTTTCCTGCAAATGCCGGAGGCACGGAATGATGGTATGGCCCGGCAGTTTCTGGGATGGGAAACCGATATTTCGTTTGTGGACTCCGCACTGAGAGTATGCGTTGACTGTCACATCAAACGAGTCGAGGGGAATGTCCTGCCTTCATGCGTCGCCTGTACCATCTTAAAAACTTACCACTTCGCACTGCATTGGGTGCCAGCACACGAAATCAAAAAACTCCCGCCTGCCTGGGATCGAAGGGCGAATAGTACCTGACGGAGACGGAATACCGAAGGGTGTCTCCTGACCTAAGCCCCTCGATTACTGGGTCCGGGAAGAGCTCAACAGGGTGGTCTACAGTGGCGGAGAAATCAACGACCTCGCTGAACTCAGGCACCGAATCACGGTCGCGTGGCAGAATCTCTCGATGGCGTTCGTCTAGAAGGCTCTGGCGGAGCTCTGTGATCGTGTACGTTGTGTTGTTGAATTCGATGGTGGAAATGTCCAATCAGAATTATAATGAAGTGTAACTTATTTCGAACATGGAAGTCGAGGAAAAAACCTTTTTGTGCCCCCCTCTGTATAGGAGGCGTTGTATAAGTCATATATTGTTCAATAGGCAGTGCTATTCTGAGTGAATACAGAATGGGTAAACTGTTCACAAGGCGATCGATCAATGTCAAAAGCTTTGGAAACGCTATCCGACATAGTAGCTAGAGACCCCGAAACATGACCATCTTGCTGTCAAACCAAATAAAACTACAAAGAAAAGATTAGTGGCATCAGCACTGCTGCGAAAGATCTTTTAGCTTGGAAACGGCATAATATTGTGGAGAGTATTTGGAAACTGCTAATATGTGTCAATGCAACTCGCCGGTTTTTATATTACCGTCATATCATTTGGATTTTAAATATTAAACGATATCCCTTTGTTGGAAGCGCATTCAAAATGCATGAAATCTGACGGGTTCCCACGGATTTTCCTTTTATAATATATTTTGTATGCATATAATTGCATGAATCGTAATTTCATCATGCTAAATGCTTACAAATGCTGTGGAAGCGGATGCTTGTATGCCATTCTGTGCATTCAATGGACCATTCAATGTCAAAAAGATTCGTTGTTACATTATCACTATCTCATTGTATCTATTGTACTATTCACGGTCGTCTTTTCCTGCGTTACCATTTCGCGTCTATTTTTGTTCACCATGTTCACCTTGGCATGATAAACTGTGCTGTTGCCTGAAGATCGGTCTCCAGCTTGAAGTACTCGAAAAGCGTCTTAAAGCGTTCACACTTTGCGGCAGCGTCCCCGAGCAGCGTCCAACAGCGACGCAGTATTCCTAGCGCCCGGCAGCGTCGGCGGCTAGGAAACTATAGATATCGGTTCAGAGTCCACCGGCATGCAGGAGTGAATAGTATGGGGCGATAGAAGGGAACTATTAGGTTGTTCGGAAAGGAATGCGCGTTTGAGTATAAAAACGAAATTAAACAAGGTCAATCTAAAAGATAATCTCCATTACTAGCAATGACTTGTTGCCAACTGTACGCAAAAACTTCGCCAAAAGAGCCTCTTTCACTACTTTTCCCCTCGGGTGTGTCGTTAGGTCCGCCGGAGAGGAAATGTAGGTCAAAAGAGCCTCTTTTTGCCAGTTTTCTCGCCGAGTGTGTCGCTAGGTCCGCCCGCTGCCCCTGTGAGCCGAGTGGGTCATTAGGTCCACCCAAGTGCGTCGTTAGGACTTGCTTGAAGTCTTACCACATACAAGCTCGCATTCGAAATTTTTGGTCGAGCATTTTCTAAACTTTTTTTCTCTAAAAAAACAAGGTAGACATAGAAAAAATATATCAAAAGATGCGCAATAAAAACCTCTCTCTAATGGACAAAACTGTTTTGAAAAATCTCCTATAGTAGAAGAGAAATAAATAGACAAAGTCAACGCGCATTTCTTTCCGAACATTTCCCGCTCCCCTCCTATTACCCTACACTCTCCACCCCTAGACGTTGCTGGTCGCTGGTGGACGCTGCAGCAAAGTATGAGCGGAGTCTAAAGGACGCCTCAAGCAAGGCTGGCGCGACATGCTGCACATGGATTCGGAGATAATTGGCGCCTACCCAGATCAGGCGTTTAACTGGGAGAAATGGCGTCACGAAACCAGAACAACGAACCCCGCCAATAGTGGGACAAACTGTAAAGAGTAAGAAGAAAAAGAAGAATGAGGCGGCTAAGAATCAACCTAATCTTCTGAATGAAAATGAGTGAAAGTAAGCTGAGTAACTGCACTGAAACGATAGACAAGAGAGAACAGTATCATGGGTTGTTTTTCTGCGATCGATTCAAAGTAATTTGTGTGTAAGGGTCGGCTCGTTCACGTGGGTAGACATCAAGATCACAATTGATCCCTTGAAGATGAGTGTAGAAGAATGCAACAGTTCACACATCAGGAGAAGTTTGATCTTACTCTATATAATTCGCTAAGTATGTCTGTGTGTGTGTCTTGGCGTGTCCGTCAGTTTGTCACGAAATTCATAGCGCCGGTCCCAGTAGCAGTGAGACATTGATTTCAAGAAGTGATGTAGGGGGTGTGACGGGAACACTATTGGTGGGTGACAGGAAGTGATATCAGTTGATAATATTCGATAAGGGCATTAGAAGGGAAAGTTTACCATATTCAAACGCTGGTGACAGCATCAGCTAGCTCTTGATCCCAAGATATGGTAGGGTATGGGCCAAGAACATTATGGTGGGTGACAAGAACTGTAAGCTGCTGATAAGATTCGATAAGGGGCGTTAGAAAGGTGAGGTCATCGTATTCACAGCGGTCACAGCATCAGCGAGGCGTACGTTTCAGCAAGTGATATAGAGGGTGAGATGGGGACATCAACCGTGGGTGACTGGAAGCGATAACTACTGATAAGGGAAGTTGCAGTCGTCGTCGCTGTTCAAGGTGGTTCACGCTACCAAATCATAGAGATTTAGTGATGAGGACATTGATGACGGGTGACAGGTAATCTTATCAATCGATAAAAACGATAAGATACCATCTGCGCTACATTTTTATCACTTCTTACGAGTATGCTGAGTATTAGAGGCTCAGTGAGGCTTAGTGTGTGAACTCTTTCCTTTGGTGTCAATGGAATCAAGGTCGTCCATTGAAGTATTTGGTTTTAAATGCATGAAATGATGTCGAGCGTGAGGGTACGGGAAATTCATCAATCAAAGAAATTTTCGCAAGTCTGCCTGTTTTATGTGACTTGTTAGGCAGGCGGCGGTCGCAACTGAAGCAAAATAAGGGGGAATCCAACAATTGGGAGTGGAGACGTCCTGTCGGTGGTAACATTCGAGCTCTCCGTGCGACACACACTTTGACATGTACAAGCAATGTAAGTTCTCCTTTTCAGTGCCACCCATGACTCCGCAGTTATGCCTCTTCCGGGTGTTGAGGACTCATCCGGACTAATTCAACTTCACCCATTCTGATGTGGCAACTGTGGTCCTTGCTGACATGGTGCTGCCTTCTCACGCTTGAAAATCACTAGTAAGGAAGGGGGATCAGATGTTGATTAAAGGGCGTTCCTGCTGCACCATTGTAAATCCTCTACTGTTCACATGTCGCGCTCCACTACAAGGGCACGTTCTCTAGGCAAAACCATTTTTTTTTACATTTAGGACATTGACAAGGCTAGGTTCATGTTACTTCAATGAATTTTCAGAGGTGTGCTGAATTTTTAAGGTGTGCACGACGATCGTCTATGTGTATCCTATCAAAATCTGCGTGTATAAAAATGGGAAAAAATATTGCTGATTGACAACAAGAAGCAAATGTTGAAATCCGTCATTCCAACGACAAATTTATCTCAACAAACGATAGCGCGAGTGGCGGGGCGTGGATTGGAGCCGAGGCGACCACCAATGAGGCGATGACGAGTTCCATCATTTCCAAAACTTTTCAAAACAAGTGGTGATCGTACGAGGGAGTCTAAAGACAGTTGGCACGTTGAATCCCAAGACTAGTAGGATTAATACGCCTGGCAAGACCCCGAGCAGGTGCTGCGTAGCACCTTTTTCAAGAAAGGTACCGTTATAGGTCCTATCAAGCTGCAACATACCGACCGGACGCCCACCGCGCCAGCCCGCCCACAAATGTACGACCGTACCTGATGCATGGCGCGCCGTCGCTGCGGAAAGCTCTTGCAGAAAACGACCTCCCCACCATCCAGCGACAAAATGCGACCCTTCGCTGAACATTACCAGACCTAAGACGTGTCCTGATAATGATCGAGGCCGTACAGTTCTCAAAGCCGTACAAGTTATGGATTCCTATTTCACGGGGGCACGTATGGACCAACAAAATGGAATGAGAAAATTTATTGGAGATCAACCGGTAGGTAAAACTCGTAGAAAGCGGCATATGGTATTCAACACATATAATTGCTGCATTGGAGCTGATTATAAAACATACGAAAATGTATGAGAATTGTGAGTTCGAGAAAAGACAACCGTGAATGAGGAATGTTCAGGCAGCACATTATGTTGTAACGGTACCAAACCGATCCACTTTACCTTTCAATTTGGTCAATAACAAAAATTGCACTGCTTAGGTCTCTACCGCATTAGGAGTTAATGCTGTTCAGATAGATGTCCATGAATGCGACAACAAAAGCTTCGAGGTGAATAATGGCCTTCTGTCCTCTTGTGAGCCGATGTTCATAGAGAGCAGCCATCTCGATCACTTCCCGCCTAGCTGATGACGGAGTGCGCTTCAGCAACTCTCGAAGTAGATACTAAACGGTCAATGGGTTAGATTACACTCCAAAATTCGTGGCATAATGACGGATGGTCTTCTAGCTCAATGCCAACCGAAAAGACTGCAACACAAGAAGCATCAGCACACATGCACATGCTGCGTGTACAGTCCGGTTCACTGCGAATGATGGGGCATGTCAGAGAGCTGGGTTTGGATTCTCTACCACCTTATGGTGATATGCGACAACGATTGGTGGAAAACGACTGATACGAACGCTTCTGTACAGTATCACGCCAAAACCATCTCTCCCGACACGCTTTCTCCGCGGCAAACAACAATTTCCCGACCGAGGAAAAACTGAACAATGTACGAACCAACATTGAAACGGTATCAAGATATTCGAAGGAGAATCAGGTGGCAACTAAGCAGTTCACTTATGCTCGCCTGCGTCCTCCTGGTCTCAGCGTGAGCTGTCGAAAGCGGCACATTCTGTTGATGGAAGGGCTCAGACGAGCAGAAAAGGTACTGCTTATCATGCGTAGCATCTCATCCTAAACTACTGAAGAACTGTGAAAACTTACCGAAAATATGAGATTCGGTTGTATACAACGAGAGATCAGTTCATACAAGCGTTCTCGCACCTTAAAGGACAACAAAAAAATATTTTCTCGAAAAAGTAATTCAAGAAAGAACTGGCGAAAGCCACCCAGTACTTACTGCGAGGATGTTTTCATTATTTTGCTTTTTGATCATCAAATCGGCAGTTTCTCGAAGGTAGATCTCCCATTCTGGTTCAGGCACCTAGAAATCCGAAAAGTGCTCGCGACACTTCAAACGAGTGTAATTGCACTCGGCAGTACCGTACCTTTTCAGTGTCTTTAATAGGTACTCCCTTCCTTTTCACCGCTTCCATAGATAACAATGCACGTCGCAGATTCCCTCGTGCTTTCGTCACTATCTCAAAACTTAGACTTTAGCCACATATCAACTACGGTAGCAGTCACGCCTACATATGTATACCTGGTCCATAACAGAATCCGGGACCGTAAGTCTGACTCTTTCTGCGACTGATATACACACATCACGAACCTGAAACAGGAGGCTCAAACTTGGAGGTATCACAGTTTAGGCCCAGAACCACCAGATGAACTCACCAATGAGTGCACCAAAAACGACGGCGAAGCTTGCCATCTACAATCAGGGCACAGTTGTTGGGGATTCCAAAACAGGGGAATCACATTTGGTCGCTGGGAGAGGGGGGAGGTCATGCTCATGCTAAGATTTTTTTCGATAGTTGATTTTCCTTGCCAGACTTTCCGTGGTATTTCCTGTTTCTCGTATACTATATATCCCCACTCAAAGAGCAAAATTTTTGGTTAGAAGTAGGGAAATTTTAGGGGAATTCCGGAAAAGTAGTAGGATGTTTGAGAAAATCTGAGAAATGATAGAGAGGGGTTGTATTTTCCTCGCGCTCTAGCGTTTCACATGTGCTGCCTCCCCCCCACTCCGACTGCTCGATTGAATACGGAACTAGGGGGGGGGGGCGTGGATCGTACCAACCCCCTTTTGAAGGGGGTATTACGGACTCCACCAAAATCTCCAACCAATGATGCGCCCTGTCTACAATATTACCCAACCTTCTGGAGTGTACGGCGCACCCGTATGTAGAGAGGCCTTTTCTTCAAACGCCACAAACGTTTTTTTTCTGGCATCACCTCCGCGTATTTTTTTGCCTTATCGAAGCGAATTATCTGTAGTGAATAAGAAGTGTTTAGAAACAAAATATAGCGGCTTTACCATCTCTTCGCGCGCACCGCCACGTGGAATTCCGCGAGCATGCTGATAAATGCCCTTACAACCCCAGAAAACAGGGTAAGTTTCGCAGAGGAACCATAACATCTGAACAGACAAATCTAGTAAAGTGCTCCCCCCCCCCCGCCCACAGCAGTGTGCTACTGGAGATTCCGAGTGAATGGGGGGGGGGGAGAGATCGGGGAACAGAGATGCAGAGGGGCTGAAGCGGAGAGACGATGGGCATTGATAGAGATAACGGCAGACAGCGGAGGTTTACTGGGGATGTTTTCCCCTCGAGGGGAAGTATAGCATACGGCCCCAGATCCTTTTATACCTAGGTCAACCAGTTTTCTTTCTACTTATCTTGAACGGTAAACTTATACCAGATTCGCCTGAGGACAAAAAATTACTTATACATTGGCTGGAATACATAAATCTACCTTCATTTAATACTCTATAGTTCCGAGCAGAGGAAGAATGTCTCATAAAAAAATTAATGACTTCAAGGAATCACCTCTTCATCCGTAGGGGCGCCCACTCTAACAATCATACATCTGGACTTCAACGGACCAATAATTCGACTCAGAGATTCGCAGCAAAGAATTAGACGACAAGTCATCGAATATTTTTCCATAGTACGTCGAAGGGCATGCTGAGCATCTCTGGTCAATTGATCTGCTTCCATGAGGACGACCACTAAAAGAGCTCTCAGTAAGAACATTAAAAACATCACAAATTAAAACTGAACTTCTTCGGCGATGCCCACACATTGTCAAGAGTACCACCATTCAAAGAGTAAGAAACATACCTTTGAAGCTTTTCTGTGTAGCACTTGCGATTTGAGCAGTTTGGGCCATTTGTTTGACAACTTCCTGCACAACAACACGATCGTAGATGCCAACCTCTCTTAAAGACTAACAAAATTAGTACCAGATGATTTTAGTAACACATTTCAGACCAGCGCTCCTTGGCGGTGCTTGTCAGTATTCCCACGAAATAGTGTGCATTGACTTATGTACGGTTCGGTTGCCTTTACTGAACATGGAGGACCCACAGGGTGAAGAGCAAAAACAGTTTTTCTCCGGCAGTCAATGCAAAATAAAATACACTTTATTCAATTCTGAATGGACATTTTCACCATCGAATTCAACAACACATTGCACACGATCACGAAACTCCGCCTTTTGGACGAACGCGACCAAGGATTCTGCCACGCGACCGTGCTTCAAGCCTGAGTCAGCGAGGTTGTTGATTCCTCCGCCGCTGTAGACCATCCTGTTGAGCACCGCCCGAACATCGAGGGGTAAGCTCAGTTGACTAACATGGATTTTCCGCCTTCTCCAGGTTCTCAACGCCCTCCGATTCCGAGTAGGCAAGAGATTTTCCAGTGCTCTTCGACGTGCTGGCACCCAGTCATGTAGCAGTACGAAGTTTCTACGATGGTACAGGGCGACACGGAGTCAGGATATTTTCTTCGAGCTTCGATGTAACAGTCAGCGTTCACTTTCAGTCCGGGGTCCACGAAGAAAATATCGGTCTTCCCATTCCAGGAACTTCCGGTCCATACCATCAACCCGCGCCTTGGCGACTGCGGTGAAGATGATGTCCTGGACCGTAGCGACGTTGTCGGAGCTGCTCGATGTTGGAGGTCTTCCAGATCAAGAGTACCGGTCTCCAGGTAGCTGTCCATGGGTGACTCCATACAAGAAGTTTCGCAGCTGTTTGGAGGTGACGTGAATTCCATAGGCCTTCTCCAATCAGTCTGCAGTTTCACATGGCTTCATATTTTCATGTACATGAATGTGATGGAAGAGAGCCTGCTTCTGCTTTCGAAGAACATCTTGGGTACTTTTCACCATGATGCTCTTATCCATGTTTCCTCTCGGCTGCGTATTCCTTACTGATATGTACCTCGGCAAAGTGCCTTTGCCCTCCCCCCCCCTCTATGGGTGAACATCTTGAGCCGGATGCTTAGCTGGTCTTGCAATTTGACGATAGTACACAAGGAAGGAAGCCGTGATGACGAAGAGGGGAGAAAGAATAAGAAGATGCTGCTGATAACAGAGAGATCAATAACAACTCCAGCTACCATCCTGTATTAGAGAAGAGACTGGCATAACCCGGAAACACGTATAAAGTCAGTCACCAATAGAAACGGAATGAAGAAATAGAGAAATCCCCGCTGTTGATTAATCACTGTTTGAGAAGTGGCGCATTCTTCTTCCACTCAAAATCGTAGAAGCTTATGGAATGGATGCGGCCTGAATAATGACTTGCGAGGGGAATGCAACTCACAAGCCAGTGTTTTTACCCTCCAAGACTATTCTTAAATCAATCTACCCTCCAGGAAGGGTAGGTGCCCACACCATCTCTCACTTCAGTGATCACAGAGACATACAACAGCAATCATGAAGGTCACGATCGTGGAGGGATTCTACCCATGGAAATGATCTCACTCTAAGATTGCCAAGCAACTGGGAAGAGGTTAAACATCGCAAAGCAAGCTGTCGCATTCTTACTGAACACCAAAAATGAGAGTTGACGCCTGCAGCAGCGGCCACAACACACAAGGTTTCTGCTGTGCAATTGCTGTTGCATGCAAGAGTAGGTAATCTCGGTTCCGTGGAAAAACTCACCCATGCGCGCTGCAGTGCGATTTTTTTAACGTCACCGTGGCAGCAGGGCGAAGCGAAAGGCGATGGATGGCTTGCTCCTTCGGAATCGTGCTCCAATCGGCAATCGCTTTTATGTGAAAGGACAAAGAGGGAGAAAAAGAGAGAGCAATTACTTCAGCAAATGGTAAAACTAGCGAAATAGTCCTTTCGATCGCGAAAACGACGCAAACAGCTCTTACGCAAACGTTTAAGGTGAGGTTTGGCAAATTGCCAACAGTTGGATGTGACCTTATAACGGTATAACGTTTGCGTAGGAGCTGCTTGCGTCGTTTCACAATCGAAGGGACTATTTCGCCATTTGCTGAAGTAATTCGCCCTGATAGTCGACTTTTCTGTATTCTCTTACTTTTCTGTATTCTCTTACCAATACCACCTAATTACCTGTAAGCATCCACTATCTGTTCTTCCATCCACATAAAAGCGGCTGCTGATTACAGCACAGTGACGGAGGCGCAGGCCATCGTCTTTCGCCTCGCCCTGCCGCCGCGGTAAAAACCGCGCCACATACGAGCCCGAGTGATTTTTTCCCTCCTCCGGGTAGCCTCACTCAAGTAACTGCCTGTTTACCTACGACTGTCCCCTAGTGGGCAACAAGAACCATAGAAAGAAAAAAAGAAATTGGAAAGAAAGTAAGAAAAAAAACTTATGACCGCCTGTCTGCCTGACAGTTCCTAAGGACAGTTTAACGAGTTCAGCGCTATGTTAAAGACACATGGTACGCTCAAACACATTGAGGGTGTATGAGACTATCAGCCCCCCAGCTGTCGATGTGTCGTGGTTTCCCCGCCTGAAACTGCACGGGGGTCCGAGTACGGGACCGTGGGAAAGGCTTATTCCTTGCTACACCGCCCAAAATGCAACTTGCGCGCGGCGAAATGCAACTTGCGCGCGGTTTGGGCGGTGTAGCAAGGAATAAGCCTTTCCCACGGTCCCGTACTCGGACCCCCGTGCAGTTTCGGGCGGGGAAACCACGACACATCGACAGCTGGGGGGCTGATAGTCTCATACACCCTCAATGTGTTTGAGCGTACCATGTGTCTTTAAGCGGACAGGGGCTGGAAGTCACTTACCCAGGATTAATTTCTATGTGGTAGTTACTGCTGACGGTATCGATTTCAATTTTCCTATTAGAAGGAGTGACGAGGGACTTTTTGTCTAGATGCAGTCGTTCGGCTCCTGCTCCGTAGAGTTCCCTAAAAAGCTAATACTAAGCTAGCATATTTCAATTCAATCGTTGAGGTTTTCCCCCCTAAAAAAGAGCTCACCTTAAGATACAATGTATACGGGTTCTTTTCCCTGCACCCGATGGACCATGGACGAGAAGATGAGGGAAGTCATCAGACTTCACAAGTTCAGCCAAATCACAAGCCTAAACAGTTCAGGACATGGTATTGACACCTGGAAAGCATATTAAGTACCTGTTCCAAGTGGTAGGATAGCTCGCTTAATTTCTTCGGGCGATATCTGTCCACCCACAACGACATCACTGTAAGTCACCGGTAATTTACGTAAGACACATGTGGGAGCAAATTCGAGGTAAACCAAACAGGTAAGACATACCCTTCAATTATGCACATAGGAAGATCAAACAATTCTTATGATCAATAAACACATTCGAGTACAAACATAGTGGATATAATAAACATACAAGCGAGATCGCCCATTCAAGGTGAGTGACGTTACTTCTGAGCTAAAGGGGCAAAGATGCCATTTTTGATGGCCAATAAAATATAGAAAGACGAAAAATAGGGTTCAAAAGTAACATGCTTTATACACTAATCTTCCGAACACGGTCGAAATATCACAACGCTCCTGCTCTATCAAAAACTTCATGATGCCTGTCCTTCTTCAACAAGGTAACTTTCATTATTGATTTTTCCTCTCCATTCTCGTCCTTGCCCATTTCATACTCGACGCGGACATTGTACGTATTCGCCATCATAAGACAGGCAAGAAAATATCGGCTAACTTCGTATTTTTTCCGACCGACCAACAGCTGAAAACTAATATTTGAGGTTATTTGGACTTAAGTCAACTGCAAATCAGACAAAGGGACACAGAATTCACGAGTGTGGACATCAAGTCCATGTTGCGGCGACGCGTGCAATAAGCCAAGTAATTCCTAACTGGTTTACTCGACATACTACAGCAATCACACGCCAAATCAATTTGGTTCTGGTTCCCCTGGAGCGCACGCGGAGTAATGTCCGGCCCACCAAAGAGAATAAGACAAGACAATCGTAAGATGATGCGCTGGTGGATGTGAGAGTCACTTCGCGCCGACGAGTTGTCTTGCACAGCTGTTCGAATTTTTGATGTTAAGGGACGTAAATATTTATACCATACGGCATGATGGCTCACCTCCGCCTGAATGCATGTGAGTTGCCCGAAGAAAAACAACCTACGCGCATCGAGAAATTGCCGCTCGTTGTCGCACGACGTGCCGCGCACGACGGAGCGGCAAAATAAGGTTCTCATGTTCGGCTTCTCAATACAAACATCACCAACCTCGTCTAGCGTCTTCGTCTCGCCAACCTCCTTGAACATGCTTAATAAATGATCGCCATATTCGTGAATATCGAATTCTTTTCTTGTCTCTTCTTCTTCAAGTATGGGCATCATGGTTTCTTCCCACTCTTGTACACGAGCAACCAAGTCAGAAGTGACCTCTTCAGTGGTGGACCAGTACCTCAAAAGAGAAAGAGCAAGATGATAAGGAAGGACTAATGCGAATCAAATTAGAGCTTGAATATTGTGTCAGCAACAACAGGGCATTCAAATATAAAGGCGGGGAGCGGAAAAGACTCTCTCCTAGACTCTAAGCAAAATATGTTACACTTATTGAGTTCCAACTGAACTTTTCCACCATCAAATTCAACAACACGCTGCACACGACCATGAGACTCAAGCGTTCTGGAGGAGCGCCATCGAGAGATTCTGCCACGCGACCGTGATTCGGTGCCTGAGTTCAGCGAGGTCGTTGATTTCTCCGCCACTGTAGACCACCCTGTTGAGCTCCCCCCGGACCCGGTAATCGAGGGGTTCTAGTACAGGTGACACACTTGGATATTCCTTCAGGTACTCATCACTCTTCGATTCCAATTCGGCGAGTTTTTCGATTCCATGTGCTGCCACCCAATCCTGTGGCAGTACGAAGTTTCCAAGATGGTACAGGCAACGACGTGAAGGCAGGATATATTCGTCGAGCTGTTCGATGTAACAGTCAGCGCTCACTTTCATCCGGTCCACGAAAACAATG